ATCTCGTCCAACCAGGACGCTTCGCCACTGCTTGACTTAGGTCGGGCTTGTCCCCCTACAGGGAGATTTCTGGCGGAAAATCAAACACATACCACAAACAGATGCAAAACAATGCGCCACCATACTTAGAATGCGCCACCATACAACATTCCCCTCTCTAGAGGGACAGGTCCGGCCTGACACTGCTTGACCCCCCCCCTCGCCGCCCAGAGGCGCAGAGCGCACGCGCCGCGCCCGCCCCCGCGGCTCCTGGTGCATCTCCTCCATCAGCTCGCCCATCCTCGGCGCGGCGGGCAAAGCGCACGGCCCCGTCGCGCGAGGCGGCAACGGCGAAGAGCGAAAATCCAAGAAGGAGCCCCGCAGGGACACTTTTGTGGACCCAGCTGGTGCCCAGAAGGGGCCCTGAATTTAGGTCGGGCATGTCCCCCTACAGGCGGATTTTGGACGAAAGATCAAACATACCCCAAACAGCATAAACACATATTAGAAAAATGCTAAAAACAAATCGCCCCCGGACTAATTGGAGACTGTGTTTGAATATTTCTCCTGTGGAGGGACACGCCCTACTTACGTAATGGTTACGGTGGAGAAAAAAACACAAATTCCTCTGAACCCTAAGTGCGTGCCCAGAGCCTCTAAGAGCCGACCCACAACCTACGCCAGCGGGAACGGCCGAAAGGCCTTCGATATCACGGAAAAACTCGCCCTGTGGGGCCCATTTTACGCGGGCCTCCCAGGAGGCCCGAAAAGGGGAAGACGACGGAAAGATGGGCACATCCTCCTTCTCTGCACGGCTGCCCAAAATCAGAAGAAGAGCGTCGGCACACACACACAAACTTTCGCGGATTTCGCCGAGCACTGGCTCCGTCCGCATCGCGCCCGCGGGCGCGCACGTGTTGCTGTGCCGCCGGCGCCAGGGGCGCCGCCAGGACCCCCGACAGGTTAAGTCTGCCCATGCTCAATGTTGATGTTCCCTCTTCGACAAGGACCGCACACAGCAGAAGTGATTCACCGCAGATCAGATCGGCCAATTCGGTCGCGCCCTCGCCGAACCGATCGGAGATCGGGCCCCACCCGTGGAGGACGGGAGCCGACAACCAGGCCTGAGCTGGATCGAACTGCGAGCCAACATCGGATCGGACACGGATCGGATCGCCAGCGGACCGCCCCGAGTCGGATCGACATCGGGGCGGACCCCTGGCGGATGCCGCCGCAACGCACCCAACCTCGGGGATCTGCTGACCCGGGTCAATCCAGACCCATGCCAGTCAGGCCTTGCAGGATGCTGCAAGGTCCTGCGAGACTCTGCGCCCAAGCCTGGGCCAACGCGAAGGATCCTGCAAGACCCTGCATGATCCTGCACCCACGCCCGGATCAATGCGACCATGGCCCTGCAGGATCCTGAACGATCGGGCGCTCTGGCGCTGACCCCCCTTTGCATTGACCCCCTTCTCATGGCTACCGAGGACCGACACCGCTGCCCGCGCCAGCGCAAACCTGCCGACCTGGGCGCGGCAGCCAAGTATCGACCAGCGCACCGCGCAGACACCTGCGCGCACGACCGAGCCGGCAGGCCTGCGGGCGGCCCTGTGAGAAGCGCGGCGGCCGTCGTGCCAGGAGGCCGCCTCGGGACGTGCTGCATCGGGCCCGAGCAGACGGGGCCGCAGGCCATCGGCGCCCTCCTCCTCCTGCTCCTCCCCCTCCTCCTCCACCTCCTCCTCCTCCTCCTCCTCCTCCTCCCCCTCCTCCTTCGCCTCCTCTTCCCCCCTCTCCTCCTCTTCCTCCTCTTCAAACTCCTCCTCCTCCCTGTCCCTTCTCCTCCCCCACCTCCTCCTTCTCCTCCTTCTCCTTCTCCTCCTTCTCCTCCTCCTCCTTCTCCTTCTCCTTCTTCTCGTTCTCCTTTTCCTCCTTCTCCTCCTCTTTCCTCTCCTCCCCCTCCTTCTCCCCTCCTGCTCTTCCTCGTCTCGGCGATGGACCGGCGAGCCAGAGGCCGGCGCTTCCGCACCAGCGCGCGCTGCTGACGTCGGGGCAGGGAGCGCCGCAGCGCTCCCACGTCGAGTCGCAGCGGCGAAGCAAGTTGCCGCTGCGGCGCGGTCCCCCGACCCCGCTTGCTCGGACCCAGGCTGGGGGGCCTGGAGCTAGGAGACCAGACGACGGGGTCCGCCCCTCCTCCACCCCCCCCTCTCCTTGTCTTCCTCCTCCTCCTCCTCCTGCTCCACCTTCCCGCCCCCGCTTCCACCTCCGCCGCCATTGAGGGCCGGGCAGGGGAAAGCGGCGTCTTTGGGGCATCTGGAGGCGCTGCTTCGCTCTGGGGCGTCTGGGGGAATCCTGGGCTCCCCCGGAACTCCAGAAGGGCCTCCTCTCCTCCTCGGCCTCCTCCGCCTCCTCCTGCTCCCGCCCCCCGCCGCCATCAGAACACGACCAACGTTGAGCTGGTTGATCGATGACTTGCGGACTCGATTGGTGCCCCCGACGTGACAGAACACGCGCACGCATGGCACAGCGTGATGTACACCGCAACGTCCCTCCCGTCCCCCTACTTCTTCCTCCGCTCGCCTTCCAGGAGGAAAAAGCAAATTCCTTCTCTTGCCCTCATCACGCCATCGTCGTTCTCGTCGTCGCCCTCCTCCTCCCTCAGCTAAAACAACGATTGTGATGGCTGTGAAAACAAGCAGGATAGAAAAAGCATGCGCGCGGGCAGTGGAAAGGGCAGGCACGGTCTCGACCTTTTGATGCTTCGGTGCTGTATCATCCTCAGGCCGACAGACCTGAACTGCGGTGAGCGTAAGTAGTCAATCGCGTTCCGCTACTCGCAACATACACACTCGCAAATGGCCTGGATCCGATACGTGAGATAGAGGCAGGCGTATGCTTTCCCGACGTTTGCGAGTAGGCACTTTGCGAGTATTGGAACGCGCCATGTGAGTAAGGGGGGTGCGAACGGAGGGCTGGCGAATCTGCTGCATGGCATGCATCAAGGGGCCCAAGGACACACAAATAAATGCACACAAATAAAAGGATTCCCCATGGTTGCCCATATGTTCTGGGATTTTGTCTTCCCACCCAACTCCCATATGTTCCCATATTTTCTAGGGAATCGTCGATGAATTGTGTCTGTGATTTTTTCCCTCCTGAATGCAGCCCGATGTCCAGGCTCATTGAGGCGCTGGGAGGGACCACGCGCTGGGGACCACGCACCCGACGACTGGGCCGAGAACCAGTACACGCAGCAGCTCTCGTACCTCCCGTCTGCACCCCCCTCCTCCTCCTCATCCTCCTCCTCCTCCTCCTCCTCCTCCTCCCAATCAGTGGCGCGACGATGCTGATCGCGAGAACGGACGGCCTACGCGCTGGCCCAGAGCTGAGGCAACCGCACGTCAGCCCAACCCTGCCCCTGCAGGTCAGACCTCTGAAATTCCAACGGGGGGGTCAAGATTTTGAAGGATGGCTGCGGCCGAGTGAAATCTGACGGGTTGTGTTAGATACCCCGACTCGACTGTCCCCGCAGGGGTACAGCGCTCTCGCCACGAAAGAAGCGAGACCCGAGAGAAGCGGGTACTGAACCCCGGAGCCTTCCCCAGGATCGGCTTCTCATCCCGAGTAGTTCTGCTGACGGCCCCCAGGCCCGGGGAGGGCGCTGATGGGCCTGTTTCCCACCACCACCACCATGAGTTGGAGGGGGAGGAGGAGGAGGAGGAGGAGGAGGAGGAGGAGGAGGAGGAGGAGGAGGAGGAGGCACCATGACGTGTCACCGTAGGGGTATAAACTGTCCCGCCGCTCTGGGACAGGCGATCCCGACGGCGGAAACATGTACGCTGTGTCATTCTTCGCCGGCTGAATCACCATGCCCTTTCAGAGGTCCGCGCAGATTTCCTGGATCGGCGATGGGACTCCCATCCCTGTCGCACGAGAGCCCGCCGGAGGCGCCGTCAGAGAGGGCCCAGCGACGATCCAAATAACATCCGCGCGGCCCTGCCCCATGGAGCTTCGTAGAAACGCCACAGCACAACGTATCCTACAACATTGTCCTGTCGGTTATCAAGCGACAAGTGTCAAAGGCACATCAACCCACACACACATATATATATATAGAGAGAGAGAGAGAGAGAGAGAAATGAGAGAGAAAGACTGTACTTGGGCCGCTATTGGCCACTATGTGGTGGACAAGCCTAAGTACACAGTCATAGCATTCCACAGTCAACAATCATGGCAATACCAGAAGGAACGCTGAACGCGAAACAAAGTCCCTTTTCAGAATCAGCTCGAACCTTTCTAAGGAACGACCGAGCCCCTTCTTGAAGGCGTTCCCTCGTCGTTGCCTCTCGTTTTGACGTGACCCCCCCTCTCCGCCGAAGCCTCAGGCGCGGGGATCCTGGCAAAATGGCGGGGGAACGCGAGAGGCTACGAGGAACCACCGAGTCCCTTCCGAACCCGAACTGGACCCCGAACTGGACCCTACTTTTTGAGCAGGGACCGACCGTCCCGGCATTCCCATAGGCATACCACGAAATGCTCTTAGAACTCAAACATGTTCTAAGAACAAAAACAAAAGGTTATTCGAACATAAACCCAATGTGTTCGAACAAGACAGTCCCAGCCAGAAATGTTCTAGGAACATTTCGTGGAATCCACAACAGGTTCTTAGAACATTGTTTGGTAGGCCTATGGGCCAGCCAGGGCGCTTCGCCACTGCTTGAACTTTAGCGCCACGAGTGCAGTGGGCATGCTTCTGGCCCCGGCGGAACGCCGACAATTTGCGCCTGTGCAGTTGCTTCCTCTTCGGGCAAATGTCGGCTAGACGTAAGAGTGACCCTGGGTAAGAGTGACCTTTGGTGCGCAGCTTTTTGGGGCGCGAGGGAGCCAAACCCAAGGGCGCGGGCCGCTTATACCGCATCGCACTCGGCGATCGGGGGGAGCCCGCTGAGCCTGCACCAAAGGTCACTCCGGCGGAAGGTCACTCTTACGTGTAATCGAAAATGGCTGCGGGGACCGCCTGCCCCTCAGCGGGCATGCCGGGAGACCAGGCGCACCGCGACCTTCGGGTCCAGCTTCACGCCGGGCGCGCCGCCCAGGTCCTTCGCGAGGCGCACCGCCAGCTCCTGCCAGGCATGACTCGCCACTCCCGCGCCCCGCTCTGGTCTCGAGTCTGTCCCTCCCTGACCAATCTAGGGGAACAAAAAGTGACATAAACATGAAAACTCGGAGGTCCGCGCGGATTTCTCGGATCGGCGCTGGGCCCCCCTCCCTGGCGCGCCAGGGCGGCGCCGGAGGCGCCGCTAGGGGGCCCAGCGCCGATCCGAGAAATCCGCGCGGACCTCCGAGTTTTTATGTTTATGTCACCTTTTTTCCCCTATAATCGACCCCTTCTCGAGGGCGGGTCCTCCCGCCACCCCTGAACCGTGGCGCCGCGACCACGCCGGCCGACTTTAGGCACTGTTTTTTGGGCTCCCGGGGCCCTCGAGCACCGACCCCGGCCGGGGAGCACACAGCAGGAAGGTGGGGTCCATGAAACGGGCGTGAGCAATGCGGTATTTTTCTGCGGGGGCCACATGCGAACCCTACCCCTACCCCCCACGATTTCTGAGGGGGAGGGTTGGGTTCACTTCGCTCGAGAGCTCCCGAACGAAGTGAACCCCACCCGACCCCTCAGAAACCGTGGGGGGTAGGGGTAGGGTTCGCATGTGGCCCCCTAATTTTTTCGAAACGTAGGATCTCGGGGCAGGTCAGAGACATCAGCCCAGAAGGCCCCCCAAACGCGCCCAAAACGGTGCGAACGCGTCCGGGAACGAGTGCCAGATCCCCGACGCCGCGGTCTGTCCACGGCGTGGCTTCCAGGAGGCCACGCCCCCTTCCCCGAGGCCAGATCTTCCTCTCTGGGTTGTCTTCTGACGGTCCGCGGCGCCCCCTCCCGAGGCCCCCAGACACAAAGAGAGGCAACACGGGCCTCCCGTCACGATCTCTTCGCGGCGCGAGGGGGGTCGACCCGAGCCCGAGAGAGGAGAACATCTGCCGTCGGACCCGTCCAGAGGTGCGCTGCGACTCGGGCGGAATCCGGCCGCGCGCGGCGGCGTGCGCCCTCACGGAGGCCCCCGAAGAGTGAGAAAGCCGTGCGTGATTCTGGATCCTCGAACCTGGAGCGTGGCTTGGGTCGGGGGTCTCGGGAGGGAGCACTCCCAGCATGAGGCAGCAAGCAAGTCCCGGTCCCGACGGGAAAAATGGTGCTGCACCTCTGGGCCTTCTCGCGGGACCAATTTCTCGTCCCTGGTCGTTTCAAACAGTGCTGGGGCCCGTGGAGGGCCACGGGGGCGAAATGGAATGAGGAACAACTGCGTATACATTAACTTTCGGAGGTCCGTGCAGCGTATTCGGATCGGCGATGGGATCCCCTCCCTGTTGCGCGGAGCGCGCCTCAGGCGGCGCCAGAGGCGCCGTCAGGGTGGACCCAGCGCCTAGGAGCTCGAACACAAGAAAGCTTCCGCAACAAATCTAACCCTGAGACCCTAGGACGTCCATTGATTTTTGGTGAAATCCGACCCTGAGACCCTAGGACGTCCATTGATTTTTGGTGTAGGAAGGTCACGGCTTCCGTAGCAAAGCCAACGAAACCCAAGAAACCCAGGGAACCCTGGAAGCAAGCAGGGTGTTTCTTGGCATGGGCCTCCACTGTGCGTGCGGAGATCCAACAATCTGTACGTTCTTCTGGCGCTTCCTCCTTCCTGTAAGAAAGCCACCAACACAGTCGGATGCTCGACCCTCCGGGCCTCCGCCCAGCACCGGTGCCCCGTCACAGCGGGTCGCTGTCTGACACTCCTGGGGCTCGTGATGGGCCCAAAGGGGGCCGAACAACGCGCGCATGGCAAGACCGCAGGGCCCGCCCAGAACTTCCCACCCTCGATCCTCGGCGACTCGGACCCGGAACGCCCGCTCCGGCCAGTCAGAACGAGCGCTCCGTCCCAGGGGCCACTCGCAGACACTCGCGGGGCTCGTGTAGAGCCCAGGGAGCCCCCGAGCAGGGGAAGGGGGGAACAACAAGGGAGCCCCGCATCGGGAGGGGGGGGGGAAGCGCCCCCGAGGGGCAACAAGAGGCCCTCGGCGGCGGGGCAAGAACGAGGATCTGCGGCGGGGTGGGACGAGGGGCAACACGGAGCCAACGGCGGGGGGGGCAAGGCCGAGGATCGGCGGGGGGGGCACGATGGGCAACACGGGGCCAGCGGCGGGGGGGGCAAGGCCGAGGATCGGGGCGGGGATTGGAGCGCAGGATGGGCAGGCCCTGTCGCTTGCGTGCGAAGGCCGCCCAGACGCCCAGCTCCTCGATCCTCGGACCTCGGCGGCGCCGCGGCTCCTCGCACCCCCGCTGCGCCGCGATGCCCCCGAGGGCCTCCGAGATGAGCTCCGAGGGCAGGCCACCGCGCACCTCTGGAGCACACTAATCATACGTGTGTGTATATATGTATATATATATATATATATATCCACGTATCAGACTAAGAATATTAGGAAGAAGGCGAATCCGACAAACACTAAGAACATCAAGACACATAGTATTAACGCTGCTGATCTGACCAAGAAAAACGGATTCATACGAACAATACGAATCATACTGATCATGATACCAAGTAGTAATACTAATACTGATCAAACTCATCATACAAATAATAAGATGTGCGAGTATACTAGTAAAGCCAAAGAGAAGAAACAGCAAAACGCGAGCAACCATATTCAGGGTATTTTTTCGTGGGTGAAACCATGAAGTAGGTGGAACCATTCATTGGAGCAGGTGTAAACACGAAGTCGGCAGAAACATGAACTAAATAGAGCACCATTCGGTCGGAAGAAATGGGTCGAAACATGAGGTAGGAAGGCGTTGGAAATAAATCGGGTTCCCACCCACCCCCTCAATATGAAAGGAAATGGGAAAACGCTCGTTGATTGAAGCAGGACGGCGCCTAAAGTAGATCAGGATCTGAGAATCCAAACATGCCCACTTTCAACGACCGATGGGTAAATGTAAAGGCCTCAGAAGTGGGGTCCGAGATTTACTCGGCCAAGACAACGTCGGCCAGGATGAACTCGGCCGGGCGAAACCAGCACGGGCGGAGTTCAACCTGGCCGAGTTCAGCTTGCCAAATTCAGCTTGGCCGAGATCCGCCTGGCCGAGTCTTCCCATGCCCGACAAGGGGTCGAAGGATAGCGCCCTTGTCGCCGGTGCATCGCCGAGGCCTCGGCGATGCATCACTGATGTCGGTGATGTATCGGTGACGCCGACGTGGTGAACTTCGGGCTCCGCATCGAACCGCATCGACGACGCATCTGAAGGGGCCCAGGGACACACAAGTAAATGCACACAAATCCCAGGATTCCCAATATTGTTTTAAATGCTCTTGATTTTCGTCTTCCCCCCACTTCCCAAAATCACACCAGCCCTCTGGGCGTCCTTGTTCCCCTTCGGGGAGGGGCTTACCACTGTTCCCTATTAACATACACCCCCTCCCACAGGCGACTGGGAGCCAACCAGGGTCAATGCAGGCACCGCCCGCCCCACCATCCCTTGTAAAAAAACAATACAAACACACTCTGCCTCCAAATTCGGAGCATGCGCAGCGAACCCGATGCAGCCTCCCCCCGCCATTCCTGTCACAAAAACAAAACAGAGTACACTTGGCGGCGGCGGCGGCGGCTACGGCGGCCGCGGCGGGGGCAGCGGCTGCGGCGGCTGCGGCGGTGGCGGCGGCGGTGGCGGCGGCGGCGGGGGCGGCGGCGGCGGCTGCGGCTGCGGCGGCGGCGGCGGCGGCGGTGGGCAGCGGCGGCGGCGGTGGCGGCAGCGGCTGCGGCGGCAGCGGCTGCGGCGGCGGCGATTCGGCGGGGCGAGGCGGCGGCGGCGGCGGCGCGGCGGCGGCGGCGGCGGCGCGGCGGCGGCGGCGGAGGCGGCGGCGGCGGCGGACCCCCAGTAGCTGCCCATCCAAAGACGACTGCTGAATATGCTGCGGCTCGGGCCAGGCTCGGGTGCTACGTATGTGTTGGGAGGGCGGGTGGGAGTGAGCGAGACGGCTTGCGGGCGGGGAGGGAGTCTTGACCCCTCCCCCTACCCCCTCCCCATGGACCTCGACAAGAGGTTTCGCAAGGTGTCGAAGCGACCAAAACGACCTCGGCGAGGAAGCCAAAATCATTGGTTGCACTAAGGTTTTGGCCCCACTTTGGCCTCCTGAGGTCGGGCCCTAATTAAACACCCCCCCTCCTGTGATCGATCCCACCCAAGATGTCCCCCAAAAATGCCCCCAAGGCTCCCAAGGGTGTCCCAAGAGGGCCCCAGGAGGTGGCCAGGAAGCCCCAAGAGGCTCCCAGGATGCCCCCAGGATGCCCCCAAGAGGCTCCCAAGAGACCTCCAAGAGATCTCCAAGAGGCCCCAAGGGGCCCCCCAGAGGCACCCAAGACGCTCCAATAGGCCTCGGCGACAATGCCAAAATCGCTGATGTTACTAAGGTTTTGGCCACATGTTGACCTCCTGGGGGGGGGGGCACTGCTTCAGATGACTCCAAGAGCGCCCGGGAGAGCCAAAGATGATCTCCAAGATGGCTCAAGATATCCCCAGATGCCTCAAGATGGCGCCCACGATGCTCCAAGAAGCCCCACCTTGGGAACATCCTCGTTTTTGGCTTTCTCGCCGAGGCCTCAAGATGGCTCCAAGATGCCCCAAGAGGGCTCCAAGAGCGCTCCCAAGGCCCCAAGAGGCATCCAGGAGGCCCCAGGAGGCCCCAACAGGTGCCCAGAGGCCTCCAAGAGGCTCCCAAGAGACCGCCAAGAGGCCCCAAGAAGCTCTCCGAGGCACCCAAGACGCTCTAAGAGGCGTCCGGGACAGCCAAGAGGCCCCCAAGACGCTCCAAGAAGCCTCCCCTGGGGGACCCTTCCTCTGTGTGCTGCCCGCTTCCCTGCTCGAGGCGATTCCTCTGGGCATCGTTTCTGGATGGGCTGGTGGGGATTCTTTTTTTTTTTTTGTTGTTTTTGATCTGCGGCCCCAAGGAAGGCTCCAGAGGGCGGGTCAATGCTGGTGGGGATTCGCGAAGCGTCAACAATTTGTCATAATTTTCATGGGGATCGCCGATTAATTGTGTCTGTCTATTATTCCCCCTCCGGAGCATCGGCGATGCGGCACCACCACTCGACCGCATCCAAACCTGGGAGGCCTTGAAAAGCAGCGAGAGGGGTGGGAGGCCTTCCGAGGCGGCGGGGGGCAATTCTCAAGAGGGCGCCCAAACCTCCCACGGAGTGTGGATGCCTCCTAGATTTATGTCGGAAACATAAACACCCAAACTACTATCTGAACATTTTTGAATTTTCTTCCTGTAAAGGGACACTCCTGACTTACTCCTAGATGGGGTCCGAGTTCACGTGGTCGGGGGATCGCGCTGCATCGCCGATACATCGGCGATGCATCGCCGATGCATCGGCGATTCATCGGCGACGTCGGCGATGCATCGGCGCCGTGGGACAATCGGGCTCCACATCGAGCCGCATCACCGATGCATCGGCGATACGGTACGATCTTCCGACCTCATGCGCTCGGACCCCACCTGGGAGGCCTAGAAACTGGCAGACGTCGGGACCGAGACAGTGCCCGTCGCTTTCGACATCCAGGGGCCCTCGCCGGGCCCCGGGGCAAGGGCCGGCCCCGGCAAGAGGGTCGGGGCTTCCAGGCTTGTCGCGGCCCCGGCAGGGGGGGCCGCGACAAATCTACCTCGCTTTTGACCACCCTCGCGCTGGGTGCTGACAGGGTCACGACGTCCGCGCGCTGGGCTGCAGGCCGAGAGGGCCTCTGAGAAGCCCCCTTTGCTGCCTCCTCGGAGCGAGGTGGGCCGACAGGGAGGCACGGAGCGGCCCCGTGTGCAGGGGGCGCGCAAGCATGGATTATCTGGGCGACCCAAGAGGGGGTCCAGCTGCAAGGGGGTGGTGCAATAGATTTGGGGCATGACGTCTTGCGCTGGAGAATTGTATTGCATTGTATTGCAACTAATGCATTGCACGCGAAAATCCAGCAATACACTTGCGCCCCGGAATGCGTTGCAGGCCCCAAATGCATTGCAACACCACAAATTTATTGCACCAAATCTATTGCACCACCCCCTTGTCGCTGGACCCCCTTTTGGGTCAACCCGAGATTAGCGGTCCATGGATTTGGCGCGCGGTCGCCAAGTCCATGGCTCCGGGGAGGTGCCCTCCCCAAAATGCGGCCAAGGCCGCCTCGCTCGGCGGCGGAAACCCGCGAGCTCCAATGGAAGCGGGCCCCCTTGATCCATGTTTGCGATCGCCTGACATGTGCTGGGGTCGGCGACTCCAAAGGGTGTGGTTTGCCAAGGGTGTGGTTTGCAACCGGCAGCCCTGGGGAACATCCTGGGGGGGCACCCTCGGGGGCGCGCGGGACCTCGATGGAGTTCTCCCGCGACCCGAGGCCCGACGAGGACAGCGTCGTGCCCCCCAGGCCCCAACGGTGCCGATCGCAAACCACACCCTGGCGTAACCATACCCTCTTGTAGTCGAGGCCGAGGCATCGCCGCCAGGCCCCCCGCTGGGGCTGGGGGGCACCCAAGCCCCGATCGGCGAGGAACGGGCGGCTGGGTCGATGCCTTTCCCCCGCAGCTCCGGGCTTCGACAGCCCGAAGCTGAGGACAGGTCCGCGTCGGTGCGCCGATGCCCTTCCTCCTCCTCCTCCTCCTCCTCCTCCTCTTCCTCCTCCTCCTCCTCCTCCTCCGCTCCCACCTCCTCCTCCTCCTCCACAGCCCCGATCGGAGAGGCACGGGGCGATTGGGGTCGATGCCTTTTCCCCCCTTGGGCAACTGGTTTTTTGAACTCCAAAAAGGGAATTTGCTTGGGATTCCTGAACTCAAGAAACAAAGTCAAAATCTAACATCATCGTTTTTAGTTAGAAAAGCCATTCTTGGAGGTCCAGCCACAATTTTCTGGGGAAGTTCAAAAACCAGTCTCCTAGGTCTGGCTTCTTGAATTCAAGGTCAATCTCTCCATACAGTCCAGCCGTATCACAAGCACGCACGAGAAGGATGCAAGGGCATCCTTGAAGGGCCGTTTCGAGGCTTTTCGAGCGGGGCGCGGCCAACGGAAGTGGCCAGTGATGGACCGAGGAGGCAAGGATGCAAGGGTGCCCTTGGGATCCTTACCATGCGGATTGCTTGTGCCCGATGACTTTCGGGCCAGATAGCTTGGCCCTCCCGCGGCCGCTCTGAACGATCCGGGCACCCACAGAACATCCTCGGCGCGGCGCAGCCGCAAGAGAGCATCCCAAAGCTGGGAAACCGACGAGCAGAGACGGAGAACGTCCGAAAACCTCGAACCTCGACTTCGAGAAGGTCGTCCCTGAGCCCATCCCCAGCCTGCCCGTGCCCCTGATAGAAGCGCCCCCGCCTGCCTCGAAGGCCGCCCCCACACGCCGCCGACGCTGTGATTTGTTTCTCGACGTGGACTCCCAGAGGTCTCGACTCATTTCCCCAGACCGCTGCTTCTCGGTAAAATCCGCCGACCCTGTCGGCGTGTGCGAGGGGCTTGGCTGTTCGAGTCGTCGTCTCCGTCGGTCGTCGCCTCCGTCGTCCCCTTTCCCTGCAGCTTCCTTCTCAAGCTCGTGAGCGAGAGAAAAATCTAGCAGTGTCGTAATCGAGTCGAAGGGAAGCCCCTTCCCTTTGATCCCTTCCCCAGGGGGGGGGGTCCCGGGGGGGGTCCCGGGGGGGGTCCCGGGGGGGTCCCGGGGGGGGTGGGGGGGCAGATTCGTTTTTCCTCGGGCGGCCTAGAAACCTCGAAAACACTCCAAATGAGGTCCGAATGCCCAAGATGGCCCCCGAGACGGCCCAAGAGGGCCCCGAGTCGCCCAAAGATCGGCCGAAAACGCCCAAGATAGCCCCAAGACCGTCCAAGAAGCCTCCAAGACGTCCCAGGCCCCCTCCAAGAGACCCCCAGGAAGCCCCAAGAGGCCCCCACGAGGCTTCCAAGCGGCCCCTCAGAGCTTCCCAAGAGGCCCACAAACTACCCCCAAGAGGCCCCCAAGAGCGCTCGTCGTCGTCGTCGTCGTCGTCGTCGTCGTCGTCGCCATTCAGGGTCGGCGGCACCGGCCGTAAGGCCTTCGCAATAACCACTTGCTCGACGGTCTTTGGGCCGAGCACAGGCCCGCGGAGAACGAACAAGTGGCGTGCATGGCATCCCCCCCAATTCCGCCGCCCTTGCAGACAGCGCTGGGCCAAAAGAGGCGGCCTGCGTGAACTCCACATGTTCTCTCGGGCCTCCACCACGCCCACCCTCCCTGGGGGAAACCGACAGGCACCGATGCCGCTGGTCCCCAGACCTTTTTGTTTCTGGGGCGCTCTCTGACCAATATTTTTCGCTGCGATTCCAGCCGTGGCGACGAGGGCCTCCCAGGAGGCCCCAAAAGGGCGCAAGCGAGGCGAGGGTGGCGGTATGGGTACCTCTTCCTCCAAAGACCCCTCTCCCCCCCTCCGCGCAAGAACCCGCCAGTCGGAAAAGTACGTAGAGACATGATGTCAGAAGACGGGTACAATAGCTTGATTCAGGGGAATCCGCTTGAAGGATGAAGGCGCTTGAAACAAATTGGGATCTGGCAGTCCAAAAATACATATCTTCAACGAGCGGCGTGTGAACTCGCAGGAACCCGGGACAATGCGGCCTCCCAACTTGTGTTCTGCTCGTCCGCGGAGGCGGGGCGGCGCGCGGGGCCCTTCGACGGCCGCGCAGCCCTCGCGCAGAGATACACACGCCCCTGGAGCGATAGCAGCTCGCGGCACCCTTTTTTCCGGCCGTCCCTGCGGACGGCGCACACGGCTAGCGCGCCCAACAGCGCGCAAAAAGCGGACGTGGTAAAGTCGGGGCCCTGAATAAGGAACCCTTTTCGTTGGGGAGGGGCTCCGTGTCCCTTCATGGCCTCACAGTTTTTTCCCCAGGTGATCCTTGGATTGTCGATGGGAAGTCGAAATTGAACTTCTGGAGAACAGGGGCCTCGTTCCTTATTCAGGGTTCCGTGGGTCAACGCCCCAACAACGGTACCACTGGCCGCCGCTGGGCGCCCCTGGGTCGCAGGCGTGGTGCCATTGGGCGCAACTGGGCGCCATGCGGTCGCGGACGTGTGGCCTCTCTCCCACACGGCGCCGCTGAGCGCCACCTGGGCGCCACCTGATCGTCCCCCCCCAGGTGGCGCCCACGGCTCGCGCGCCCAGCGGCGCGCCAAAAGCGCACGCGCAGGACCAAGACAGATCGAGGATGACGTCGGGTGAGGACAGATCGAGAAGCCCTGAGATTCGGGGGCTCTGGAGATGTCTCCCGGGAAGGCGCTCAAAAGCAGAGTGTCTTCCCCTGAGTTCCTCGGGGATCTGCCAACCTGGGTCGAACAGACCCGGGTCAGCAGGAAACCCAAAAACCGCAATGCAGGAAAGCAAGCTGCAACGCAGGGCTTCGCAAACCTGGGTCAGCCAACATGCGCGGCCACCTGGCGGCCACGAGCGGCTCGCTAACCTGGGTCAGCCAGAGGGGGTCTTCGCAGGATCGTGCAGGATCTGGTGCCCTGGCTGACCCCCATTTGCATTGACCCCCGTCTCTCGGGGGCGCGCAAGCATGGATTAGCGATCCATGGATCTGGCGCGCAATGGCAAGATCCATGGATCGGGGAGGTACCCTCTCTGAAATGCGGCCGGTGCCGCCTCGCTCGGCGGCGGAAATCCGCGATTCCCCGTGGAAACGGGACCCGCCTCGAATTCACGCCACCTTAATTCATGTTGCGGTCGCCTGAGTCTCTTCAGCCGTAGGCGGCCCGAGGAGGGGAGGGGGACGAGGAGGAGGAGACGGAGGAGGAGGAGGAGGAGGAAGAGGAGGAGGAGGAGGAGGAGGAGGAGGAGGAGGGGAACGCCTAAGCCCTTCGGAGAAATCCTCCAATTGACCCCCGTCTCTGAAGCTGAAGTCGGGCGTGCTCCAATTGACCCCCTCTGAAACATACTCCAAAAATGCTCCAAAGATGCCCAAAGATGCTCAAAAGAGTCCCCAGACTATTTTTGAACTATCTTTGAATACTCCCCCTGTAGAGGGACAGGCCCGACTGAATCTTAAGCTCCGAGCGCCCCCCCCCTCGCGCGCGCCGCCGGCGGCGGCACCTGCAGGCCGGCGACGTCGGCCACCGGCGGGGCCGGGGAGCGGACCCCGCAGGCCGCCGCGAGCAGGCCAGCGGCGGCCCGCGCGTCGCCGGCAGTGAGGCAGCCGCGGAGGAGGACGGTGTACCTCGAGCTCCTCCTCGACCTCCTCCGCCGCCTCCTCCACCGCCTCCTCCTCCGCCTCCTCCTCCTCCTCCACCTCCTCCTCCTCCGCCTCCTCCTCCTCCGCCTCCTCCTCCTCCGCCTCCGCCTCCGCCTCCTCCTCTTTAGTCCCGACAGTTTGGGTCGACTCTGGTCTCCCGCCTCATTTCCCCCCTCTGCTCCTCCTCCTCCGCCTCATTCATTCATTCATTCATCATGAGGCGGACGGTTCGACGCCTATACAGAGAAGAGGACGAGATGGGATGGACAAAGGAAGTAGAGCACGTACTCGCAGTGGAGTGATGCTATCCATGCAAGCCTGGGGTACTGCCTAAGGCGCAAAAGTCGGAACAGGGAGGGGCAGAGAGAAGGCAGAGCAGAGAACCTTCGCCCAGGTTGCGCGGTACTGCCAATGGCGCGCCACACTGCTTAGTGTGACACCTTCGCATTACTATTTTTTAAAGTGAATGGACACTGGCGCTGACCAGCTAGGTCAGGGCATCGCCTTCGTGCGAAGGCCCTTCCCGCACTTGAGCAACAGTCAGTGAGGAAGGGAGGTTTGTCTGATATGGGTCCTCCACTGGTATTCGTACCGCTGGGTGGCCGTAGAAGCGTGGCCTGCCCGAACGTAAACACAAATCTCCGTCGTGTAGATATGCCAGATAAGGATCCAGAGGCACATGAAACTTCCTAACGCCCAGGGGAAGATCCCAACCATCTTCATCAGTCCGTAGGTCGATGCAGTGTCGAAGCGTACTCTCCTCTCGCATCGTCCACTGTAGCGGCCTAGTGTCTTGGAATGTGCCCATGGGTGAACCACATGGAACACCGCCCTCTAAAAAGGCACAAAGTTCGGGAAATCTATCGCGAATTTGCTGGAACAGCGAGGCGGCAAGCTTTTTGTTCAGGGCCCTGGGATAAACTTGTGCTGGTGATGTATCTGGCCATCCACAGTGTCGCTCAAAGGGGGCAGGGGCATGTATGCGATGGTTACAAAGTGTTCCCCCTTCCCCGAGGTCACTGAGCCAGGTGGCCAGCGTGGGTACGGCAGGTTCGTGTCGTGTCGACCCCGGCGCTGGTTTTTGACACCGCGCTGGATCGTTCAACTTTGAACGATCGGCCGTCTCCGCAACGTCCAATCGTTCAACATCGACCGATTCTGGGCCGCCGTCGGCGTTCAACGTTGAACGTCGGCGGCGAGGTCGCCGCTGGTCGACACGACGCAAACCTACCGTATATGGACAGCAAGCAAGGTGGTAGGTCTTTTTCGGGGGGGCTCCAAATCGACACTGGTGGATGGTGTGGATCCGTACCCCTTCCAATAGACTTAGGTCCTTGACCTCAGGGAGGAGCCAAATGCTTGGGCTACCAGGTATATACTCCGCATGTGCTGGATGGGACAAGAGAGCAGGAACATGATATTTCCAACACACATAAAGTAAAGAAAGAGCAGCACGAAGAAGTTGGTTGCCTAAGGTAACTTGCTTGCTCGCAATCGATGAAAGATTGCCATGGCCCCACAAATGCTCTTCCGAACGGTGCGCTCTGGTAGCGAGACTCGTTTCTGCCGGGTGTTGGTGCCTGGCGTTCGACCACGTCTCAGCTGGCGGCCCCGCAACAACTGCACACACTCTTCCCGATCTAATCATATTTGTCCATATGGATGTAGTATGTATATCTGTGAGATCTCCGAGATGGGGGTCGTGAGAGGCATCCACGCTTAGTGCAGCTAAACGTGTAGGAAAGGAACTCTGGAGCCTCTCAATGCGGTCTTGGAGGTCTCCCTGGTGCCTATGTTGAGAGGAAAGAAGCAAAATGAATTTGAGGGGCCTCACTGGGACCCTGCGGGAGCACAGGCAAGGGGGAGGAGGATCTGGGCTCGGGGCTACAGGTGGGACAAGATCGCGGCGCGCTCGCCTTACATGGGTTCTGGGATGGATGGGAGGTCCAGCGCACTGAAGCCAAGGCAGAGCAGCATAGGTCTCTGATCTTCCAGCCCGCCGATTGGTCGCTGCCTCCATTCGGGCTTCCTCTCTTGCCTGGGAAAGCTCCTCGCTAGTGGGGCGATGCCCAGAATCAATCCACGCCAATTTACACGCTGGCGCATTGGATAAATGCTTCACTAAACGAGACACGCGACGAAAGTCCCTGAGGCATACCTGACAACATGTCCCCGTAGCCAGCATGGTAGGTGAAGCGGCCGACTTGTGAAATTTGCCTATGTGCGCAAGATGCTGTTGAGCCGAGGAAGAAACATGCCCACAATCATAGCAAACAAAACGAACAGCATCAGGGGGGGAGGACGAGGCGAGGGGAGTGTGGAGTGAAATAGTGCGTAGAGTATGCTTCCACACCTCATGGTGAGCCACGTCAAGATAGTATCGTTTGGCCTTAGTAATGGCACTAGAAAGAGCAGTGCGAAAGCCCTTCGGTTCTGCACGTACAAAATGGGGCCAGACGTCGTCATCAATAGGGATTTCTGGGCAGAAAAAAGCCAGCCACCTTATATCGTCCTGTATGAGGGATATCCATCCCTTCGGGTCTCTCCAATTCAGGTCAAGAAGGGAACGAAGCACAGGGGGTCCCTTATGAATGATTCTTTGCAGTAATCGTAACCTACCAATAGTAAGTATGACACGGGTAGGTAGCCTGTGGGTGTCTAAGAACACACGAGCATTGTTATAATGAAGGTCCGCATTATTGGTGGCAGACATGCCTAAGGCAACTCGGCACACTGAGGTGTGAGCGGTTTGAACTTTGCGCCACAAGGAATCATTCAATCGTGTCCAAAATGTAGCACCAAAGAACAGAACAGAGGAGGCAAGCGCCTCAGCCCAAGTGATTTTGCTTAAAGTGGGTCGTGCTTTCGGTGGGGCCACAGTGCTGCGAATAGGTTTTAACGCCCTGGAAGTTTTCGCAACACGTGCGGAGACATCAGGCCCCAATGAGCCATCCGCCGCAACTTGGGACCCGAGGATTTTCTGGACCAGAGCGGTGGGGAAGGTGAAATTCCACTTCACAGAGGTAATGCCCGTTAGTGTCTTGCCTGGTAAATCTCTGAGAGCTTTGCGGGAATTAACACCATTCAATGAGACTAAGATCTTGGTTCTGTCGGCGTGTATCGAAAAACCTGCTCTGGCAGCGGAGCAATAGACCGTCTCAGCTAAGGAAAGCAGTGTGGTATGAACATTAAGAGGATCAGGGATGGGAGACATTAGAGTCATGTCATCAACAAAAGAGAGATCTGGTGACGCCAAATCCCAATCCTGTAGGGAGGACAAGCGGGTGGTCGGTGCATCGTACACCTCCTGACATGCTAGTCCAGCTCGCTGGAGTCCGTCACGTATGTCTTGATGCACTAGTCTGAACACTGCGTTGAAAATGTCAGTGGCAGATACCGTTCCTGGCCTGGATCCTAAATGCGGAGCCGCAAAGTCTGTGGCGTCGCGAACTCGCCAGTATGTCCCCCTCTGGGTTTCCTGCACTAAACGAATAAGATCATCCTGGGGGAAATGGCGGTGCAACAAGGGACCCTGCTGAAGTTGAGCTTTAGCTCCCTGTATGAGAACTTCAGGTAGTGACAAGGATGCAAGGGCATCTTCCAGTCTCTCATCCTCTCCAGGTAAGGACAGGGCGAGTTGCTTAATGGTGGTGTAAAAAGCCTGAACGAGGTCTAAACATAAAACAGCACCCGAGGTGCGCGTGTGTAGGCAGTGTCGGAGGAAGGTCCTGACCGACAGCGTTATCATCTCAGTGCTCCTTCCTCCGACTCCACCACACTGCTCAGCAAGTAGGGCCGTTGCGAGGAAGTCTTGGGAGAGGGAGCGAATGTGCTTATGATGCAGTTTGCAGACCGTGCTAGCAAGGAGAATGTTGCGCATGTTTTTGGCCGCAGTAGAGACCCCTGACCCTTTAAAGAAATAAACCACCTCACCTACTTTAAATAAGAAGGGCTCTCTTCCCGTAGCGACGATTTTGACCATCAGTGAGTTGAGGATCCGAGCAAGTTCCCGTGGGGCCACCTTGTAAATGCAACTAGGTAGGCCGTCCACTCCAGGGGCCTTGCCTCTCCGATATGAGCGCATTTGGTATTGGAGATCAATGATGGTGGGAATGTAGGCCAGGGAAGCGCCCTCGGGGTCAACAATGTTAGGCAAGCCATTATATTCATAAATCATGTCTGGCAGCGCTAATCGATGTCCTCTCTCAACTTGGCAGAAATGCTGTTGCATGTTATCCGTAACCTCCGAAAGTGAGGTGAGAACCCGTGGTGGTTGCTGGACCCCTGCAATTACCTCTGGTGGCATGACTCCCTCATCCGTCAAAAGAGGAACAGTATCGGAAGCAGGCGACGGCCCCTTCTTTCGACCTCCGTAGGTGAGAAGAGTATTAAGTCCTTGCCATTCCGCTCGAGACATCTTCGCATCTACAGCAAACTGAATTTGTTGGGCCGTTGTATCGAGGAAAGCCGTGTGTTCCTGTTCGATCTGCGTCCTAAGAGGCACTTCGCTGTAAGAGAGAAAATGTGTTATGCGGACCGCAAAGTCATCACTGGATAATGTTCCTTGCATATGCAACTGGGCGGAGAAACGCAAGATCTGAAACAACTCAAGAAAGGAAGTCGGCATGGGATCGAGGCAAGGGGGGCTGAGATCACCTCGAGAAATGCGAGCAGCAAAGCGAGAGAGCGTGGCTAGATGATGAGACAATGAGGCATCCACGCAAAGATCTCCAAACCAGCGTCTTAGTGCTCGGTTAGCCCCTCTTCTGATACGAATCATGTCCATTACTGGGGAAGACATGTGCGCTTTGTTGGGTAGCTTTTGCGTGGTCCCAAAGCACTCCTGGCTGGCCTGTGAGATGGCCTGAGTAACGGCAAGGCAATGGTGATTGAGTTCTTGGTCCCAGGGGTTAAGATCAATAGTAGTTAAGGATTGCCGAAACTTTTCACAAGCCACAGGGCACTCAAGTTTTCGGGGGTCAAGC